TATCGCTTGCCGCCAGACCGCCATTTCACAACATCTTCCCTTCCCCCGTACATATCGTCCTTATGATTTGCAGCCTCCCAGGTCTCCGCCTCCCCATGTCGCAGTCTCCCAAGAATGCGAACTGGTGTGGGTAGAATGCCAATCGGACGTCTACCTCCTTCTGGCTTCTGCAAGAAAGGGGGGATGAGCAACATTATCTGCTCTGGCAGGAACGCGAACTTCTCCCGCATGTGTAGCAGGACTCCGAAAACACGTAGCCCTTCATCACTCAAGGACATCAGCAGTGCGCTTCTTGAATTTTCCAAGCGCTTGCCGGATTGCTCGCGGTTCTGGGGGTTCAGGAGGATCTTCCAAAGGGAGAGATTGTATCCAGCTGGGCTCGGGGGCCTTCAGAGTCCCATGCCTCCAAATAGCTTTCCACTCACTTTCAAGGGCTGCAATCTGGTCCATCGCTCCTCCTGGGGTACCATCGGGGCCTGGTTCGTCAGGGGTCCACTCGTTCGGTACTTTCACCCACCTATGGACCATACTGCCCCCATTCACCACTGCCTCAGAAGCCCAAGATCTCCACTTCCTCTGACGTAGTCTAGCCCGGGACGCCTCCTCAGACTGGATCAGCTAGCTCAACTCTACCAAGGCGTCCCTGATGGATTCCGCCCCGTATCCCAAGAAACTAAAATGTCCAGGTCTCCACTTGCGCCATGCCGTAGAGTGCCACAAAATCTCGGGAGCCTTCTGGAGCTTCTGGTTCAAATCGATCACTTGCCCATCGTCATCGTTGAAACCCTTGCGCTTGAGGAAACCCAGCTCTTCCAGGCGCGTGTGGAACTTGCGCGTCGCTCTCGTCACTGGAGAACCGAGCGGGTGTGGTCCTCCTACCTTGACGATGGCAGGCTTATAAACGAACTGGAACATGTCGCCTCTGCCGAAAAAGTTACCCTTGGAGTCGGACAGCTCCAACTGGCACGTGTCTGCCAGTTCAAGCTCGGCAGCCTTGCAAAAGGTAGCGCGTGCCTGACTGACCTGAGCTTGCGAAATCTCTGGTTCTCGGACCAGCTGCTCGACCTGAACCTGAGTTCCCTCCCACCAGCACGGTGGCTGAGGCGCAGGCCCGATCGGAAGATCAGGAAGCCTCTTGGGCGCCCACAAACATCTGATCGATCCAAGATGGGTACACGTCCTGATCGACATGCGGATGGGAAACATGGGTGCAAAGCTCGGAGTCTTCCAATCGATCGCATCGCCACACGCAGGGCACTAAGCTAGCCGACACAATGACATAATCAATATCACGCCCTTCAGCTCCCACTCGACAGGTAGGCTTCCCATTCTGCATTATGACCCCATCTGTTTTCTCCAGCAAACCAGTTCCTCGAACCTCAGAAGCCAAGGCGTTGAACTCGCCCCCTATGACGAACGGCTTTCCCATGTAACCCAGAAGCTCGCCAGCCTGGAAAAGCACGCGGCGGCCCTCGGCTCCTACACCGTCCCCGCTCGGGGGGGTAGACACTGGCAGCGTTGAAGCCTCCCGCGGCGCAGCCCCCGACCCAAGCCAACGCGGCCCTGGAATGGGGTCGAGGCTCCGAAGGATTGCTGCCCATGCCTACCCCCTTGCGGACGGCTGAACCAACCCCTGCTGATACACCTTCAGACTGGGTCACATCACAGGTTCCGAAACTTAGATTCCAACCTACCTTGGCCAAGGTGAGCGGCGCCCGAGCGGCGTCGCCTACCTTTACCTTGGTCTCTTGCAGCAAAAACACATTTGAGACTGGCATTCTTTTTCCAGAAAAGACCGGCACCGTGGCCAGCCAGTAACATTCGCAGACACGAAGTCCCAACTCAGTGCGTCAGGAACAGCCTGATCGACCCGCTGCTCCAATGCTTCGCGCATGGTGCCGAAGGCCTTTCGGACTCCGTCACCTGCCTCACCCTCGGGGATGGCGCCGATGAGCGCGTCCAGCGCCTTCTGCACGGGCTCGGCGATGGACACCGACGGCTTGGCAGCCGCCCGCGCCTCACCTCCACCCTGCGGCGCCAGCGAACGCCCTCGAGCCTTCGCCTCCTCGAACTGCGCCTGCGCCTGGTCGAGCTCCTCCTGCGCCTCAATGGCGGCCTTGACCGCCTCCTCTGCCTTGGACTGCATTCTCGACACCTTCTGCTTGAGGTGCACCATCTGCTGCGAGTACTTCCCAATGAGGGTGTTGATCTGCGCCGCCTCAGCCTTGGCCCCCGAGAGACCGTAGTTCTGAAGCCCTCGCTGATGCGTGAGTGAATCTCGCTGGTGGCGGGGAATGGACTGCGACGCCAAGGCGAAGTGCTGTTCCGACATGGCAAGCCACATCTCCCGCCCCTCGGCCGTGAGCTCGCGCTTGGGGGGCGCGGCGTGCGCCTTGCCCCCGCCGTCGCCGCCCCCGCCACCGCCTTTGCCCTTGCCACCTTTGAATCCGTTCGCCTTGCCGCCTCCGCCAGGGAACAAGACAGCCCCTGCCTTGCCCTTGCCGCCACCGCCAAATCCACCAATGCCCCACCACGGATTTCCCTGGGAAAACTGGATCTGCGGGACAGGGCCTTGTGGGTTCTGACCGTGATAACCTGCTTGCTTGCACGTCGCACGGTGCCCGAAGTTGTAGAAGCCGCAGGTGCCGCACGCCCACACTGGCGCCATGACTGCGACTCTGCACGAAGATCCCGCACAAAACTGCCACGGCGGCTCGGGCCGCTCGCCGCGGTGGTGAAAGTGAAGCCTCGGCCTCCTGTCGTCCTCGAGAGTGGCCACCGATAAGCCAAGGCTAATCGCCGGTTCTCGGGCGCCTATAACCTTTCACAACGCTTACTTAACCTTGAGCCGCAATGGCTACGGATCCCCCTCCTCCTCCTCCTCCTCCTCCTCTTCCTCCTCCTCCTCTTCCTCCTCCTTCTCATCCTCCTCCTCCTCCTCCCATTCCTCCTCCTCCTCCTCCTCCTCCTCCTCCACCTCGTCCTCCTCCTCCCCTCCCCCTCCTCCACCTCCTCCTCCCCCCTCCTCCCCCTCCTCTCCTCCTGACTCCTCCTCCTCCTCACGACCTCTTCTCCTACCTCCTCCTACCCCTCCTCCTCCGCCTCCTCCTCCGCCTCCTCCTCCTCCTCCTCCTCCTCCTCCTCCTCCCCCTCCCCCTCCTCCTCCTCCTCCTCCGTAGCCATTTTGGCTCAATATGGTGAGTCCATCAGGGGAACAAGCGGACACCGCTAGTCCGCGGCAGGCAAGGCCACCTGTGGCCTGGCAGACTTCACCCGCACCGACGTCCGCCGTCACGGGTAAACGGAGACCTTTCCCGTTCCTGTGTGAGCGAGCGTCCCAGACTTCTTCCTCGCCATGTCGGAGAAAGGAGGCTCGCCCGCTGCGATGCCACTGCGCTGCAAAGGGATCTCGAAGCGTCCTCCTCCTGGCGAGCCTGGTGGCGATCCTGGCGGCAGGGCTGACCGCTCCCGTTCACCACCGCAGGGAGATGAAGTTGATTTGGACGCGTACGCCACCATGGCCTACGTGCAGTCCCTCCAGTCGAAGATCGACGCGATGGAGACCTCAATCGAAGAGTCCATCAATTCGACCGTCGCCACCGTGGTCAGCTCCGCCACCAATCCCATCTCGTTGGCGCTCAAGGCCGCCCAGGACGGCATTGACGGGTTGGGCGCCAAGATCGAGAAGAACGTCCACCTCGCCGTCGGCCAGCAGATCGACGCCACGAGGAAGCACTTCCAGCAACAGCTCGACGCTTTCAACATACGCGTCGGCGAAGTGGAGGCCAAACAGGAGAAGACCGACAAAGCAACCGAGCTCATGGCGGAGCATATCAAAATATTGCAACGCGAGCTTGCCACGGCCAACAAGCAGCCGATCAAACAGCAGTTCATCAGCCGTGACTTCGATCGCGAAATCGACGCCACGATCATCAAGGTCCACGCGGACGGCCTGGTCACCCTGGCCAAGGCCACCGAGTCCCTCACCAAGTTCGTGGTGGGCTGCGACATCCGCGAGACTGACTTCACTGTCACTGGCAACGACACCGCCCAATTTTTCACCATCAAGTTCACGGGCCCCCCTGGCCCCGCCTGCCGCCGTGTGCAGAAAGTCCTGGACAGCATGCGCTCGACCAACGGCACCTGGGTGCGCATCTACGCCGATGCTGTCTCGGGCCACGGGACGGTCGAGCTGCGGATGGGCCCCGACAAGTCGCCGAAGCAGATCAAGACGGAGATCGTGGGGAAGCGCCTCCGCCAGGCCATGGAACGCGAGTTCCCGAACCATGTCTGGCGCGTGGACCGCGCCAAGGCCTGGATCACTGCAGGCTGGGCCCCCGTCATCGCG